TCAGTTTGGATATCAACAGGTGGTTAGGTCCCCAGATTAAACCAACCATGTTGTTATTATGAGCATGCACGTGGTAAAACAATATTTACTTACTAAATTTGAACTTTGTACTAAAATAAATTGAACTATGCATGTAATTGCACGAGTTATCGCTCGTTATCGCCTTCGTAAACTAAGGAATTTTACTTGATAATCATTGAAAGTGAGAGTTACAGCTATTGTTTTTATCACGTATACTGACCTTTTTTGAAGTATGTGAGGTCACGGTTGAAGTCAATTGATTGTATCGGAGGTCGCCGCGTCGTTTTAAAGATCTACTTTTAAAACTAAAAGTCGATAACATTCCAAAATAGAGTGTTGCCTTGCGTAGTTAGAGGTCATTGGTATATTACCTTTGTTTTTTTATCGATTTCACGACAATACCCTGTCTCGTTAAACCGCTTTGGAGGACGACGTACGGGATTTACGGGATTTGAGTTGAAGGTTTACATATAGGCTGCATACATATATGACTCTTAAAATAAGTGACACAGTGCTCAATAGGCCGTTATATTAAAGATCACCACAATTTTGACAACGCCAAAATCAACAACATTCCTGTGCGGAAAGTTGTCTGACAGACCACATTCTCGATCGTCTCGCTTCGCCCTCTAGCATTCTACGAGCTAGTGTTGATATTCTCATCCAGTTGAAGCTCGCGGCTAAAAACCGGCTTCTTTCAAATATCGCCCCGATTGTTTACCATTGAAGGCATGCCTCACATTTATTAGCGCAAACAGGTACACTGCGATTCAGTGGAGCCAAGCACCTTGTTATTATATCGGACTATACATGGCACACGAATACGGTGTCTGTTTACAGACTGCTATCCGATATACCGGGTCAGCTGTTTAACACACGTATAGGGTAAACACTGAGTATTGTATCTCTCCATGTAGAAGTCAGAACGATTATCTTCCAAGCAGTTACGTAAGGTATTAGATCGATGGCAAGTCGGCTTGAGTGAATGAGTGCTTGCTTGGACGACGTGTATTGTAAGCTCGGACCCACCGACCCCGAACCGCTGGCCACTGCCAACCAGTGTAAAACAGACAATATCATATCATGAATGAAAAGCATCAATTGATTTCATGACCGCAAATTTAGTTCAATGAATACGCTCACGCGAACCAATCGGATTGGAAGATAAAAAAAACTGTGATATTATATATAAGCTCTGTAATAATGAATTGGATAGGATCATTATTATTTGACCTCGTTCAACCGTGGTACGCCACTATTCCCTGACGCAACGTAATTAAATTAGTCCGAATAAGTTGCGTGCCGGGAGGGGGTTAGAACGCATTGATCAGAAGAAAAAACGCGCACCGGTATCAAAACTATTCAACTAGGACACCGAACAACATAGGATTTGTTTCAATGAAAGAGTTTGTAGTTTCTGTTTGGTTAGCGTCGCTTCAATTTGTTTTAAAAGTTTTTTTCCGGATTTTAGCGTTTCAGTGTCTTCTAGTTACGGTGAGTGCCTCGATTGTCGACAATGGCGGAGAGTGAAAGAATAGGCAGTTTTGAAAGGTTAGCGTTAGGTCATTTACAACAATGATGAGAAGTACGCTACATTTCAGATAAAATTGAAAAAAAAAGACAATTCGATCAATTCATTGGGCGTACAGAATGCCCTGGGATGTGGATAGAGTCTGTCCAGCGGAATACAATGAATTTCCACTGTACAACTACTCGCGAGAGAAACGATGTATTGGAAGGCACGATTTCATTAAAACGGACGCTATGCAAGCATACCGTTGGGACACACAGGCTTAGCTCGAATAGGAATGGCCTGTTATTTTCCCACATCCGATTGATATGTCTATTTTGCTTACTTACAATTGCAATTGAAATCACAATAACGCTCATGTGTCGAGAAACATTTTTTCGCTACCAATCCTCATTATTGTCCTGTCTCCAGTCACTGACTTATTCTTTGTGTAAAGCATGCAACTACGCCAGGCAAAGCCCATTTGTTCGGCTAACCAACTGCAATAATTAAATTATATTTAATTAAAACGTCTGACATCGTCGATGACACACATTCAGAGACGTGAACGTTGCTGGATGGGATTTTTCCCTCAGATCCTATTAATCAATGGTCTGCCCCCTTCTATTATCGTGCCCTGTTATTGGATTTAGTACTTCAATCGTCGAATACGACTCGAGTTAAATACTCGTTGTATTCAGCCGCCCACCCTCTTTAATGCTGGGTACCGTACGGTGAGTGCCCTTTTATTAAAACGTTGAAAACTTTTGAATGTTTTTGTTGGTGGGCGAACGAAACAAACATTACACACCTTCCCCTGTGTTTTTTGACTTTAAAAAAACTGTGTTTACTCAACTTAGTAAATAGTTCCTGAAAACCTGTCCACCCTGTTGGTCACTTCCGGAGATTGTGGCACTATCCCAATTGTCAGGACAACGAGTGCCAATGTACTGAAAACATAATATCCCATACACTGATCGACGGACAATGGAACAAAGAAACATACCTTGAAATGAACGTATCTCGTATTGACCGTGCTTTCAGGAATTTGAAGTTGACTACGGTCTACGGTATTTAAAGTATTAGAGCCGAATTACCACCTTAGTACAATTAATGGTTCAATTCCCTCCAGACGGCATGACGGGCTGACCCTAGAATCACCCTGTAGTTATTTCATACTATTCTTCTTGCCTTGGATCAGATTAGGTTATTACCTAAACTACTAAGAGCACGAGGTGAATTATTCGCGGCAACATCTCGACTATTATGGAAAATCAGATTTTAAAGTGAAAACATATCAAACCTCCACGCTGACAGTCGCATCTTCCACACTGCCCGATTGTTTAAAGTACTGATGCGTTAATCTGATTTGTTCAACATTAAAATAATTTTAATTAAAGAATTGCGGAAATGAGGGGGAAACATAATTACACCAACTATAAAATGGTGTCGAGGTTAAAGTTCACACGCCACCGAACTCAGTCCACCGGTACAAATATGCAGGCGCCATGTAATTATTCAGTTCCGCGGCGTGTCCAATTATGTGACGATAATAACTACATGTGGTAGTGGTTGTCATTGGATTTCGTTGGTAGGCTAAAATAACGCGATTCTAATGGAATCGATATGATACGTGTCTAACAACGACCACAGTTGGTAGCCTACTATGACAATAAGTTAAGGACGTTCACCTTGCCTCGTCCTCCATTCACCACGTGTCCTACAGCGTAGGAAGTGCAAATCGAGCCCACTCACACAAATATTATGGAACACGTACTCATTCGTATTAGAAGAAGATTTGGGTGTAATCTTCTAATTGTTTTCAGTTGTGAAAAATAATTTTACTAAACATTTTTCCAAATAATAATAATAATAATGATAATTCTATGAGTTGACTGAATAAATGTGACCTACCAGCTAACGGGAATATGTGGCGGGAATTATGTCGTCACGTGGGGGATAAAAACAATAGACACGGCACACTGACGATTCCTGTGCACAGGTTGACAATCCATTAAATAACAACGGCACTATGGAGGTTTTGTTCCCACTAATGAAACATTCATTACTTAACCATAACATAGGAAATACAAATTTAATCGGAAATCAAAATTGATGCCCAGTTCTGTACAAAAACATTAAATATGTATCAGATAACGGAGAACGGCAGGTGGTTCTTTTAACCCGTTTCCGACATTTTTGGGTCACCTCAATTTCATCATAAAATATTTTATTTTCGCAAATATTTAATCGAGAATGCAAAACTGTTTAACGTGCTGTTATATATACATGTACAATGTCGGTATGAGTTTTCCATACTGCCATAGCAACCGTGCGTTTTCGCATTAAATGCCGGCACCGTCATGGTGGCGACTATTCACCGGCGTCCCGGTAATTGATGAGTTTGTTGCTGTCACTTGTTCCCATGGAAACAACAAGAGCAAGCTGTGACCTCCATCGACGCGCACTCCATTATAAATTAATTTTAATGATGGCGTAATATTTTCATCCAGAATTGCTCCTTTACTATTTATTTGGTGTAAATGCCGGTTAAATGGTTACATTTTTCTACCAGAGAATTACAACATTTAAGCTATGCGAGCTTGGGATGATTGCATTTAAATAAAACCTTAGTTCCAGTAGTAAAAATATCAGGTAACTGAAATTTGAATATTAATTTCCATATTTTTGAATTAATTGTTTATTCACATATGCAGGTCGGCGCTACAACCCAGCTGGTCGTTATTCTTTGTACGAAGAACAGTGCATCCTGTTAAAAGGCACAATCATCAACCAGTCAGACGTATCATTCTTGTTCAGCGATCGACCCCACTGGCGGTACTCATTATATTCACGCAATTTAACATTGCAGGTATGGATTGTACATTTGTTTTATTACGTTACTAATACCCATATTTCATGTATACATTGCCTTAGCGCCCAAGATGGATAAGCGTGGTTTTACTTTTTAAATATTTTAAGACACTATTGCGTGGTAGAAAACAGTCTATTAAATATGGACACTGACGCAAGCGTTAATATGTGTTAACAAAAGCACGATTGCAAATCTTGAAATAGTCTGAAGTTACAGTGGCAAAAAAATAATGTTTCACATGGGGAAAACTAAGCGAGTGTATTTGGGTTCAAAGTTCACGATGGGCAGTTACCGTCGAACGAGGTCAATCTAGACAGGAGTGTAATTTATTGCTTGATATAGTCGACGTAGTTTGATATATTTTTAACGTGTCGTTTCAGGTGATCAAGCTAACACGCTAAACAATGGGCTACGATATTGAGCGCTTCCTGGGACAAGTCAACGAGGGGCTGTTGTGCTGTATATGTCGAGATGTTTTGGAAGATCCCCTCCAAGCACCATGTGAACACGCGTTTTGCTCGACCTGCATCCATGGCTGGTTGGTCCACGAAAACATCTGCCCCGAAGATCGTCGTACATTGCTTATAACGCAACTCAGACCTCTCTTCCGCTATATGAAGAACGACCTAGACAAATTGGAGATCAAATGTGGTAATTCGGACAATGGATGCAGTATGATAACCACTTTAGAAAACATTGATCGACACGAACACGAATGCGGTTTCGGAAACGTGTCGTGCCCCAGTATCGGTTGTAGCGTCGTTTTAGAACGACGAAATCTCAACTCGCATCTCGGAACTTGCGAATTCCGCACTAAAGTCTGCCCCAGGGGTTGCGGACTCACTTTACTTACAAAGGAGGACGAAGAACACAACTGTATCGGCGAACTCCGGACAGAACTCGAACTTCTACGATCCGAAATGATATGCAAATTAGACGACCAGAACAAAGAGATGCAGCTCCGACTGGATTCTCAGCGAAGTCATATGGTGCAGAAGAGCAGCCACATGCAACAGCAAATCGACGAGTTAAGAGGTGAGATTCTTGTTGCCAAGTCCAGCATTTGAATGTCTTTTTTCTCTTTCATGTGTTACGAAACGGGTGCGTTTCGCTTCACGAATTTGTTGACAACTATGCCTGCACATGAAAATCACAAACCACCCATACCAAAAATGTCGTCTGCTACAGTTTCATAACCAAAAACACCCAATCTCAAGCAAACTTCAACCTTTCCACGAATATTGCACATAACACATGTAATATTAAGCATATATCATTTCTCCGACGAAAATGCTCATTTTCACTGGTTTGAAAATTTGAACAGTTTCACTGGAGCAGACGACACCGAGCCTTTCCTTTTGTATCATGTACACTACTTTCAACAAACAAGTCCTACTGTCTACGTAATAATAACACACACAGATAAAGCGACTCTGCAAATATCTCCTAATAAATTTCTCATTTCCGATATCTGTAAATCCCAGTTCTATGATAAATTTATTAAAACTGTCACTAATCACTCCTCGCACACCGGGCATTCACTGAGGTTAGCACGCGCGGTGTATTGAATCACCGGGCGACTAGCACCCAGCACTTGGCACCCAACTCCTTCCTCAAGAATTTGTTAACCACAAGGTCCAATTTAACAATTTGTGTTGCTTTGCAACAGGGTCCAAGTTATGTACAATACTTTGAATGAAGAAAAAACAGGTCAAAGAAAGCGGAGGGGAGGATGAACATGACCCGAACATCAAGTCGATGATTGCTTGTTTGACACTTTTGAAGGAGCATTTATTTAGCTTTTATTTAACATTTTGAAATACAGTTTTAACGTGGCCTTTAAGTATATGACAGATTACGGTAATTATTTATACAGCATTAAATATATAACAAAAACTTAAAAATATAAAGTATTTATTTTTACGATATTTTTCTCAGGGTCGCTTTATTTTCTTAAGGTACTTTTCCTTCTGATATAGAATTTAAAACACACAAATACTAAATAGTTCTGCGTCAAACAAGTTCGTGAAGTTAGATCATAAACTCTTTGCAGGACAAATCTCGCGACTTCAACAAGATGTACGCTCCCTGACCAACGCGGAGAGAAAACGACGTCAGGAGATGGAGCGGATGGAGCTCGAGAAGCAAGAACTGATAGAACTACTGAAAGGTTTCCAACGCGAGGCTGACGCTAACAAGAAAGGTGCTTGCAGAAACTGTAAACGCAATGAAAAGATCACTGCGATTTAGAAAGGTGCGTTTTTGTAATAACAACAGATTAAAATAGGAATATTAAAAACTAAATTATTTTAACAATCAATATGCATACTTTAATTAACAATATTGTTATTTACTCAAATTAGTTAAGCTATTTATTCATTTAATTTAAGCTATAATTTATTCAGGTTTTATAATTTCCGTTTTAACATTTTAACAATAATTAACGTTTTCAAGGTTAAAGCCCGCATATTTGAATAAATCTCCCGTTAAACATTTATAATGGAACAACAATTTTCCGGTTAATATGAAAAAAAGCCAAGTTGTAATAAATTATTCTTTAACTTTTCCGAAAAGGTGCTAATACTTTTAACGTTAACGTTAATGTGCAAATATTTATTGACATTTATTTTTTACTATACTAGTACATTATTAATATAACACAATAACATTTACAAAATTAACATGTTGAGAAATTACTGGTCATGATATATAGCTTTATTGTTATAATGAGTAAATGTGACCTCTAAGAGTGTAGTAAAGTAATACTATAAAAAGATCCCATTGAATTTTTAACAGTCTTTAGTCATGTTTGACGTTGTGTACTTTGCCCTCAGGCTGATGACGATTTTCTGTAGTCTTCTCACCAAATAATTATACTGTGTTTTGAATGCAGCTAAATTTTTATGAAAGTAGACAGCTGGCTCAAAAAACCGCGTACTACTGTGATTTACACTTTTAAACTGTTTTTATAAAAATATTAGCACGATTTGATACCAAATGTGCATTCCAACTTAAATGAAATTCTATTTACATTTTTTTTTGAAACTTACACAAGTCAGGGATGTGTTAATAGCTATAAAATGTTTAATGCAATTAAAGATATATTTATTTATTGTCTTTTCTTTAATGTAATGTTAATTAATCTTCCTTCTTAATAAATATTGTGTGTAATCATGGCAAATTCAGTCTATGAAACAAATGTGTCAACCACCTTTTTAACTAGTAGTGTGATGCACCCTAGTCGTCCCCCTTACTACTTAACATGTGCAGGCATAACTATGCTATATCACATTTTCTTTTACTAGTTGTATGATAATCCAGTTCCAATCTCCTCCTTCTTCTCACCCTGCTGCCATATATTTTAAAGATAGGTTGATTTATTGTTCTGTCTCCATATATAAAGTTCCTCTGTTATTCCGCATGCTATGGTTATTTGACTGGTGGTCCGAAACCAATATTGATTTTCATACTCTCAGATAGAAATCTCACTAGTTTCTGCAGTATCACGATCGTCTACACCACGTTCAATGTTTTCAACCTTTATTAAAGTACCCCACATATCTGATATAGCATTCCAAATAGAACGTTTCATTCTTTATACTTTTAACAATGTTTTCATTTGCGATGATGGTATGGGTGAATGACTTTGGAAAGTTTGACAAAGCATGGTCACAATAGCGTCTAGTATTGTCTGTGTCGTGAACAATATGGCCCACTCTGTGACTATAAATAACAATTTAATCTAAAAGTGAATCAACAAAGTGTCTGCTTCTGTAACTGTCGAAAGAGGAAATGGAGAAAGAGGACGTAGTCGTATGCATAAACCAGGAGAAATGGCTCCATTACATCTGCACAAGTGATGAGGAATGGCTCCATCGTCTCCACACGAGTGAGGAGAATAACTCCATCGCTTCTGAACACTAAATTACGTAGATTCAATGCTCTTCATTATAAGTAATTTGGTCTCAACAATTCTGTAGTTATTGAATATGATACTTTTCTAACACAAAAGTACTTCGTTAACTTCTAATCAACCGATTAATGTGGAAATTACATACGTAAAACATTTCTAACATTTCTAGATTTTTGAAGTGAACAATCGTTCGTTCTTTAATGGTCTCGCGTATTGATAATCTGAAATTAGACATTGATTATCCGCACATAAATAATTTTGATTTGACTTTCCATCAACGAGTTTGAACAGTTAAGAATAACACCATTGTGCATATATTAATGATAGAATAGGGTATCTTACAAATGCAGTTTGTCTACATATAGGTACAAATAAATATGTGAATGAACTAAATATTAATTCATACTAACACACATTCTGAATTCTCTCCAAGACTCTCTGGCATGCTCTAAGCACAGCATTGCATTGTTTGAATTTTTTGAAACGATATCAATCTACACCAAAGTAGTTTACACATTGCCAAAAGCCTTTTTATCGGTTCATTGGACGATATAAAAGTTTGCATGTGAATTGCACATTGACAATGCATAATTTACATAACAATACTTGTATGTGACATACACCTGAACTTGGCGTAGCTTCGTAAGTGTGATTGGATGAGTGATTTGAAAAAGCAGTCGGTGCCTAATATAAAGTGGTGTCCAATAACAAAAGCATATGCATATATATTCACTTATTTGTTTATAAAACTGATGACATGATGTACATACAACTTTTGTGTGTATGGTTCAAAGTAGAGACAAATGTTTTTCTGCAATCACAGTATTTCACTCTCGCATTGTAACTTGCTTATTATCGATAATTTAATTTATTTAATTTCCCATGGGAAAAAATATGTCCTACAAGATGCACATTGTACAATTTATTCATGTATGGCTCCCCAGCTTTCAATCAACTTGCAAAACCCTACTATATTCAATACAAGTTGGTAATTGGGTGCAGGGAGTGTCAATTTTATTTCAGACAATACTTGAAACATATCGCATAATGCTAAAAAACGGGGCTGAACTGAATCAACATCAAACAAGGGCAGTGTTGCTATGCAATTCTAACATCATTGCGATTGTATTCATCTTGCTTTGCCATTCCCACGATAAAGTTATTATTATGGGGGGGAAAGTACTCTAGCATTACCTTTGTACTTAGAAACGAATTCTGGTTTATTTTTACACTGGTGGTGCTCACAATGACTGTTTAGGAACAATGTCAAAGGCACGCGGGTCAAGGACTTGAAATAAATAAGTTTATCTATAGATAGCGCATGAATTGTGGTCAGGTAGAGAAGCTATGATCCTTTCCGTTTATTATCACGGTCAATTATTATAATGTAGTGATAGCAAAATAGTAATTTGTCATATTAGGAATGTCATATTTTGTATACGGCAATTCAATTAGTCAATCAAACAGTATAATTCTCAAAGAAATGCAGCAGCATTAAGTTCATTGTCTATAAAACATTTTAATTTTTCTGAGATGAATGAGTACATCTTAGTACAGAAAAATCATACAGTGTTCATTAGCATACATTTGACTTGATTGAGATGATTCAAAAATCACAGTTTCATTGGTTGAATGACCAATATAATGAAGGTGAGTTCTACCGGAATATGACAAAGAGAATGTACTCTCTGACTGACCACCTGAATGGTGATAACCGTGAATTGTTGAAACATGCTATTAATTATTTAGCTAGGTAGTTAAGATTAATAAAATAGAATGATATTAATATGAATCTCCTACTTAAACTATTGACTGACAGAATTGGATTCCTCCTTATTTAAATGGATCACAGAACAACGTGCTAATGCATAACTTAAATTTTAAAAATAGTCAGTGATTATGGTTTAATCATTTGTTGATTGATTACACGTGTAGTTTTTATTCACTGAACAGCCCATGCTTACTCCCTCCGCCTTCCATCACCTGTTACCTCATATACTTTAAGCACAACTGTTGATGGAACTATAAGTTACGAATATTTTTCAAACTTGCCGACAAGTTAAGCTTGATCATGTACATTGAGTTAGCTATTCAGTTTGTGTTTCCCATGAGGACACCCTGTCTCTGTATGGGTACTCATATTCCGTTCTCGTATTTCTACTTGATTACCTCTATTAACTGTTACTGTGTCTGCTTGACTGCACCATCGTGTATGTCTATACCTGAGGTGATAGAAGGAAAAGTCAAACACACTATTCAATGTGTCCAGTACCTCGCTTCATCTACACACATGCCAAACCAAACAAGAACTTCAATGGTAGCAATTCCTCTCAAGGTTCTTGCCTTATCTACATATAACCATTGTGTCTTCTGGCGAACCCATTCCTTTTAATATTCAAACATCACAGGTACAACTACACTACACCAGTTTACGTGGCAATACTAGCTCTACTGTACCTTTGATAAGCATGTGTGTTTTAAAAATTAAGATCAACATTCAGATAACCATTTGACGATTACTCGCCCCTTTTTCCGAAAAGTTTTTTTTATTTTTATTTACAATGCTACATTCCGAATCAGTGCAAGAAGACTACCCAGACTAATCAGTGATCTACGCAAAAACCTTCAAGCATCCCGGTTAAGGAAATTAAAACACCCGAACTTTCAGACTAATGACGTCCTATTATCCCCACAATTTTCTTCTTCTGCTAAATCTATATCAATAACATAAACACAATGCTATAATGTAGCAGCTACTCATACCTAATTGTCTGCGCGAACATAGCAGAACAAAATGTCAGACTAACTATTTAAGATATAAGTTTATGACTCGATCAATGAAACCATTATCTAATCCAGATACTAGGACCAATGTCGCCAAATAAAATGATTGAGTACGGCCTAAGAATTGACACATAATTATTAGCATTGTGATTGCAGCAATAATTTGTTTTCATGAGACTAATGGACTGATCGCGTAGCAAACAAATAATAAAAACGTCGCTATGAACTCCCAGCAACAAGTCTATGATATAAACATTATAACATCCCTCATTTTCATATACTGATAACATTTGACACAGGGAAGTCATTAATTTTGAAGAGGGTATGTACAGGATGCGTGCACGTATATCTTAGAACACCCTTGACATACCACAGTCCAGTGAATGATACTATGCAAAATGAGATTTAATTTATTAAATCTATTTAATTAAAAATAAAATGCACTCGGGAACTTTTGCTGGTAATATTTGTCAATATACTATAATTGTTCATATTTAGTAGATAGGAATATAGTAACTAAAGTATGATGAGTCAATTAGGGATTGACCAATAGAAAATCTGGGACAGGATTAGAACAAAAGCAAATGAGTTAGATAAAATATATTCTGCACGTCTATATCTTAGGGGAAACACATTTCACTAAGTGGGAAAACTGTCAGCCAATTCATCATGAAATAACGCAAAACTAAATGAAGGAAACACATTTTTGCAGAGTTTCTCTGCCATCGCATCTCCAAGGGTTTTAATGCTCCATATCTTAGTGGGGCGAACTTAACGTGGTGTTGCCAGCCCTTTTCCCCTGTTTATTCAAAAGAATGTCTCTTACGTAAGTCAGTGAATAGCAGAACCAAACTTTAAAAGGTGCACACCACTATAATTTATCTTCGAAAAATACACGTCTGTGTTATATTTATGCCCTTATACCATTGTACACATCGACACGTTGCCTGGAGCACTCCACTCACTGCATTGTGATAAGCACTCTGTATTAATCACGGTAAATACTTGAAAACTCAATATTTGCACAGTGACAGGTCAAGTCAAAGTACAACACTGAATCCACATGCACTACAGAAAACCATATGGTTATATTTTAAAATTGTATATACTTTACTAATATCATAATTGACAAAGATGAATGTTCTATGTGTAATTGCGTTGGTTGAGGGCAACTGATTCAGAAACACGAATACGCAATGTCTATAGTATATTATATATATATATCCTATATTAAAGTATTCTCTCACCCAACCGAAATAGCGCTGTACTGAAAGCAAATCACCATGGTGTACGCAAGATATCCAAATAACATTTGACATTCTAGTGAGAGCCTTGACCCGAATTAACATACGTTACATAGTTACGTTCCAACTGTCTGCACCAATGTGTTCCCATTACCAGACAATTAGGCAATCACTACAGGGGAACAGACTGTCGCAAACATAACTAAGTGAGTGACACCAGTTATTAAACTTAGATGAAACAGGTGGAACTGGGCCAGGGTCAGGGAATAAAGGCACTGTTATAACAATAGCAGGACAAGGGATTAGTCAATATCTCGATCCACTCCCAATAAGGACTGATACATAGTTGTTAACCCCTCTTGGAAGTCTCCTTAGTGAGGACATGTTGATCCTAACAACAACACAAGAACCCAGTAGATTAGTTGTCAATTTTAATGTTATGTCTGGTTAGAGTTATCAGCATTCTTCGCAATGTGGCCTTGGTGATTGTCTGCCAAGATACGTGTCTATAAAGTAGACTTAGTGCTGTTTGAATTGCTCCGTTATAAATAAAATAATTATGAGATATCAAAGGAGAAATGTAAGGATTACTGACTGCAAACAGCTTAGTGGGGGAAAGAAAGATTACTTTATGGTGTAATAGATTAATCAAATTTACAACCACATACCGCAATTCAATAAACTCATGACTCAAACTCGCACCAAACAACTCCAATTTCTACCGGATTTGGCGTTACATCAAACCAGAATATTCCTACCATGCTGTGATGTGATAAATAGATAAATTCAAGAGAACTATCAACTAGAAGAAAATAAAATAAAGCAATGATGTACTTGATAAAAAATATTACCGAAATCGATTGATATACCATAATTATAGAAATACAGAATGCACCGCTCTAATACTCGATGCTTGAGTAGAAACACTGAACATACAATTGCACCAGCACCGTACAAATATGTCTCCATAATAGTTATTTTCTGTATATTCTTTTTGCAGTTGAGATGTATGGTAAGTCTGCAAGAAGAGTCGGCGTATGCTAATCTACGGCTCATTCGTGCCGAGTGATGTGAACTTCAGAGAAGAAAAGTTTGAAAACTCTTCCAGTTGTGTTATCTGTTCGTGATGCATTTTTTATAATTAATCAAAAAACTTAAGATGTGGCGAGTATTTGTTTTGTTGAAAAGTCAATGTCTCCCGATTTTTGTAATAATTGTTATTTTGTATATTGTAAGCATTCCGAGTAGTTGATTAGGACGATGGCAAGGCATATTAATTGACACACAGCTTATCGTTAAAAAGTTGTTTATTTGCCTTTATTTTCATATTTTCATATTTTCAGAGATTAACTCCTTCATATGGTCAAAATAAGATTTTAAGATGTCGCTTTCTGTATACGTTGCCATTATTATTCGGAACATTATGAAATAGGCGTTATTTTGAAATTGTCTTGGACTTACTCGAAGCATCACAAACTTTACAGTTATCCCTCCCGCCCTTACTGATATAAATAGTAGAGCAAGGTCTTCGCCTAACAATCAGACAATTCATTTCGGTGTAATGATTTGTAATAATGCCGTCTGACTTATCTCTTACATTGGTATGCACGGCAACAATTTCATGATAGTAACATTTTCACAGAGTACACTATATAGTCTGCAATTTCCAAGGCCATGTGACATTTGATCAATAAGTCTAACCACACCTGTAACACTGGTAATAAAAACCAACTCGACAACAAATTGGCCAGAGTTTTGTTGTTGTTAGAAACACAGGCAGCTCACTAAGGAGATCCCCATACCAGTTCAACAACTATTTTCCCATTGTTAGCAACAAGTGGGGTAGCTTATTAGCTTATTTGCGTCACTATTGTTTTCGGTAGTTTTATTACCACCGTTAAATAGTACTCGACCTAAGGAACCCGCCTTACCTTCCTGGCCTGCATATTTGAAGTCTTCCTCGACAGCGCCACCTACAGTTAAATGCCGGCATTATATGATGAACATGTTTACGAAATTTGTGAAATTGTATTAATACACCGAAGTTACACCTTCTAGAATGTTTAAGCCATATTTAATATTTATACAATTATTTATTAACGAAACTAATATGGTGCTGGATTTAATACGCATTATTCAATGTCAAATGATGCGATTACATACTTCCAAAGATAAAAGACGTTATCTGATGTACGGCACTGACACTTGACAATTAATTAATCAATTAATTATTTAAATTATTTATACTCTTTGTCAGTATTATTGATTACATAATAATGATTTTGAATTGTAATTATTTGTGATAGTTATCATTATTTAAAAGTTGAGTTATTTTTTTCCGGATGTGTTGTAAGATATGTGTTTACACAGCGGGCATTTTATTTGTTATGTTCATATGTACTTGTTTCCTGTACATTCCATGTTACAACACAGCCATTGCGTTTGCATCACATTCATTATGGTGCAACATAGTCAGTATGTTGCAGCACATCAAATATGGTATAGCACATATGTTATGGTGTAAACTATATTTAAGTCTACACTTAGAATATTCGAAAAACGTTTTTGTGATACATATTTAAATTATTGAACGTTGTGTGATAAGTCACGTGGTACTCAGTGTCGTGACGTTTATGATGCGCAGGCGCACTGAAATATGTTGAATAACTTTTCACATATCGACTGTACAAGCCACGCCTGTATAATCGGCAGTAAATGTTTAGTAGTTTATAGAGTCCGTATACATTTGTATAACTTTCCCGCCGATGAGGGCACTTTTGACGACCATTTAGCTTCAAGTTGACGAGAATCGAAAATTTAAAAGTGAGTGTTATTATGTTGTAATATGAAATAAATTCAGTTGTAACTGATACTGTAAATTTCATTCTATTCAATATTTCAGGATGAGTGCGTGAAATATACATGTATGTGACGGCTACTACTTGAAAATATTAAAGCGCGGTGGTCGTCGCGCAGCGCGTGTTCGAATTTCATGTAAATAAACAATGTCTTTTACACGCGTTGTATACGTCGCTATGAGTCCCATATCGAACAGGACGCGGCACGACGACTGCCGCCCTTTAAATGGAACAAAATACCAGCATTGCCATAGTTATTCCAGACCAATGTACGTTCGACTGTACGTTCAAAGGCGAATTTAGTAACAATCCGGTCCTCTCGTAAAATATTCGGCTTCTGTGACGCAATTAGGCGTAAGGTGTTTAATATGGTTTGGTGTGTAGTTTTCGCTCAACTTAATGAAATATTAATTTTGAAATGATGAACATCTACACCATTTTACGTCATGGAATCGTTTCGTCTTCAGTTAATTAATAAAAAGGTAAGTAATGAAAGGGAGAAAGGGGAAATAGAGGCTCGTTACTAATAACATGGAAGGTATTAACGTTAGTACCTTGCATGCTAATAATAATGCAATAGTATTTAGGTCCAGTTTAATCTAAAATAAAAGATTACGACTAGTTCAGTGACAGGAGTTATTCATTGGACATTATTCACCCACAGTCTCTACGCGTCTTATGTAGCATAGTCAGGTTTCGAATTTAGGATAAAAAAGTATGTACTTAAATAATCAATGATGCTGTTATGACACGATCGTGTACATGATTTATTATTGCATAATGTCATATTTAAACATAAATTACTTATTACCAAATCAGTTTAACTTTCAAACGATGAATCTCGTCTTCGTACAATCGCCAAATGTATTGCTTCAGTATTGTCATTTTGCTGCAAAAAAAAAATAAATAAAAATAATGGGTCATTGGTTGTTTTAACTTGAACCTCCCGTCGCATTCAACTTATGTAAAGAGTGTGCCAACTACGTTGACTTTCAGTTATTCGGACCGCGTCTCAAAAAAGAAAACAAGAAAGTGTGTAAAAAAGTTCTTATATGAAAAGAATTTTTCACTCTCGGTTTCAATTCGTCAACCATAATCTAATTCCAAGAAATTATTTTACTCGCCGTTTAAAACAAAGATCCTTTATCTGAATTGGCTACCCAAATTTTGCTGAATTGAAATATTTTGCTCACCGAATTTCGCTCCCCATTTATCGAACCTTCTCGCATCAGATATACTGAAGTACTGGTACTCAAATATTTTGAAATTATATTTATTATTTTAAAATATATTTTAACTTACCCGTGTAGTCCACGCATCCGTGGCATTGACAGTGTGCGTACGTATTACCACACCAATCGGCCGTTGAACAACATGGATATATTCCATTTGGATCACATTGGGAAGGTGCGCCAGAGGACAGAGGGTAGTTGGACCCACAACGAAGGTCATCTCTCCATTGCTTCACATCACCATTTCCTGCAATGTAATATGATATAATATAATTTCCACATGAATTCAGTGCAGAATGAGTTCACCAATATTATATGAAAGCAAATAAACTTGATGACACTAACCACACGAAATGGTAAATATTATGTCAAATCATATCGGCTGTTATATCAAAGTAAACATAGTACTGCGTGCGTGACTAGAACCTCTTCCCCCGGTCGCTGGGATCCTATTAATTATTTTCAGCCATCGATCAAACATATTATAGAAAGACAACTTTGTAATAAGATTGACAACCGTCTAAACACCCACCACTATAATCAACGCATCCGGAGCATTCACAGTGCGCATACGTATTACCACACCAATCTGCTGTTGAACAGCACGGGTATATGCCAGTGGGATCGCATTCTGAGGGGCTACCATCGGATAGGGGATAGTTAGACCCACAGCGGAGGTCATCTCTCCATTTCTTGTCGCCTTCATTTCCATCTTCTCCTCCGTTATCTTCTAAACAAATAATACACAAAAGTGTTGAACATCACCATTCTGAACTTTTTCATTTAGAGCCTGAGTGTAAAGTGCGCTTTTCTAATCATCTAACATAGCTCCCACCCGAATATAGATATTCTGACCACACCCTTGCCATGTATTCTCATGTAGGATATGCCTGGCCCAGCTCGAGTTGATATTACCCACACCTTGAATGACACGTACTCCGTCGTGTATGACGTCATCCAGTAAAAATGGTTGTCGTGTAACGTTGTTGTTGGATAAGTTACAGCACGTGCGTAAACATACCACTTTATTTTATGAATGTTATTATTAATATAATGTTTGAGGTATGACAAACACCGAAATTATACCCACCACGATAATCTACACATCCGGGGCATTCACAGTGCGCGTGCGTATTACCACACCAATCGCCCGTTGAACAGCATGGATATATTCCATTGGGGTCACATTGTGATAGCGCACCAGAGGACAGAGGATAGTTGGACCCACAACGCAGATCATCCCTCCATGTATTGCCTCCTTCATTGCCGTCGCCTTCATCGCCGTCATCGCCATCTAAAATAAACAACATACAAAATTATATTTCAAGCAGGAAACCTCGACAATCTTATTATTACGTTTCTTGATAAACCACGGACATCATGCTGATTGTTCATTCATTATACTTTTCTTCGAGTGTTTAAACCAGCTGTGCCTTTGATTGTCGATAGAGGGATCTCCATGCGTGTTCAAGTTTCATATGTTGACACAGTTCACACTACGAGTGTCGAGGTAATACTAATATTCAACCTACCACAATTGTATAAGCGATTGAGCTTGAAAATATCTGTTGAAGTGAACTGTGGGCTCGATCCGAGATCTTCTGGTTTCACACCAGCCCGTGTTGGTAAAATGGTCGATTCCCCGTTGATTGTGAACGCGGTGTGGTGGTAGTGCATGATAGAATGGTAATCATAACTGGAGCCAAGGTCATCGATGTAATCCGTTCCATATTTTTCAAAGTTATATTCCATTCCTACAGAAAACGAGACAATATCTTTAGTTGAAATTGCTACACTAACAGCATGACATATTAAAGGACAGTAGTCGTCGCGCCACGCATGCGCGAGATATATGGGTCTCATATAAACAAAGATGGCGACTTTGACTGTTGCAAAGAGCAACGAGCATAAACTGAGAAGTTACCAAGCTTTAATTGGGTATTTTTAGGTGATTGGAAAGTGTGGAAGGAGTCGCCGGCGGTAATTAGTGCCAGTCGCGCCCAGGTAAAACCTCATACTTGTGATTTCATTAGAAGAGCGCATAGGATTGTGGGAAAATCAACACAAATATCGCACATGCACAGCGCGACGACCACCACCTTTTAAACATGGTATTTTCATTTTGTCACGGACAAAGATCAAACTGACGTCTGAACATGTTTTTTTACGCGTACATACTATTTATAATGCGGTGTATTTTTTGAATATATACCCCACTAATTTGGAAGCCTCCTGCCCCAAAAAGAATCAAACTCATGCCCCATTTTTTTTGCAACTACGTCTCGTGTTTGAGACGGATAAAACGTCCTTACCTCTTTGAATGTTCTGTGATATCAGGTATACATAGCTGTCTCTATCGGTTCGGCTTTGTTCGTGAGCAAACCCAACGGCGTGCATGAATTCGTGCATGGGTGTAACTTTATTGAATGTGCATCCGTATCCAAGCGACAGTGCCTGACGTCCACCATCTCTGCCGATACTAGACCAACAACTGAAAAGGACACAACAAGTAAAGTATTAAGCAACTTCAAGGTGAATTCAATTCAATAAATTATACCTATTTAAAAAAAAAAGTATACATTTTACGTATTTTGTTTCAATTTCTGGAGGATTCAGCCTATTGAGCATGCGCACTGGAGTTTTCATTATTCCGTCAAACGAATACTGTTATGATTACAATCAAAGCATTATCTTTATTGTACGATACATCACATCTTTATGTTTTTATCTAGATGGAATATTAAGTAAAATTGTCGGCGCCGTATTATTATAAAATCGGGGGTTACACTCATCATAACTACCGAATACGAATTTTTCTACGACTACATACCCGTTGCCAGGATATATTGCCAAATAATCTTGCTGGCTCGAACGCTGTACGAATCGTATACACGTGTGTTTGTGATACTCCGCTATAGCCGCGTTGATGGATGCCACGGAACTAGAGTCTGTGAAAAGAGTGGCAAATTCCGCTAATAGTTTATAATGCAATATTATTATTAAGCAGCCCATTCGTCTTACTAGTGTGTAAAAAAAATAACTATATATATTCTAAAGTAATTTTGATCGATTATGTATATCGATAAGAACAAAGGTTTATAATTTGTCGTGAAAAAATCGACAGATGTTTGGCGAATCAGTAATTCTTGGCTGCGCGATCACACCACCAACGACAAACTCAGTTGAACAGTCGCACTTTTCAATATTTTACGATAAATTATTGGCTTTAACAAGATTTAACATGCTCAAAACTGCCAAAAAGTTATATTGCTTCTTTAAAACAAGAAGCACGAATGAGAGGACGTGAAAAATATGTACAAAATAAATATTGAGGTATTGTTTGGGTAAATAATGAGATACAATTATAATACACGTAATTATTTCCGAATAATAACCTTAATTACATGCGACGAAGTAATTAACAGGCTGTAGTTATTTCATTTGAGCAAATGAGAACCGGTGCTTTATTGTGTTCATCATTAAACGGAAATCGAAGAAGTAACAAGTTTCGAAGGGTCTAAGTTATCGAAAAAAACGTCCATTTGCTTCTATCTTGCATGTCATTATGCTAGTTTCCAAACCTCAAGCTATGAAACAATTATCACTTACCAAAAGACGAGTCGATTTCATAAGGCACGATACCGTTTTGCCATAATCGGGTCTTGTAAATTATGGCATTTCGTTGTCTCTACAGCGGTAAAAGAAAAGACAGCTCGTGAATCACTGAACTTGACAACTGAGATACACGGGAAAACAAATCATTGAAATTAGATATATGCTATCAAAAATCTAACAAATTCATTTACAACAATCATTGCAAAATAATATTTTATCGTTAACATGCAGAACGAAACTCACAGCAGGTCCAAGATATATATCGCCCTCAAACAACAGCTCTTCTGTTTCTTCGTCTGAAAATGTATTAATACGCGCAGAGAAATTAGAACGTTTCTAAAAACACAAAAATGGCGACAAACATTTTTGTTTGTTTTTCATCTCAATAGACATAATAATATATATTGGTAATATTATATTTCACTTACTTCCCAATATCTCCTTGTTTTCATATATGATGTGTCCCATTGCTGGCTGAGGGTCGGCTGCTCCATTTGAGTCTAAGTTGGCCAGAAAATATTGAGGAAAATGAGATGGACGAATATGACTGAAACAATAGCTGGTTAAAGTCCTACATCGCCTACTTGCAATCAAGGTAAGTTGCAAAATAATTATTCAGCCACACGATGATATTTGAATATAAACTTAAAAAATATAGTAACACAATTTTTCAACAACAATTGAAAACACAGTGATAATTATGTGAATGGTTGATACGTGGTGAGAACACAAAGTATTTTGAATACTCACCAAATTGTCGACCGCTTGGCGGTGGGTGAAGTTCTTTCTGGAAAATATAACAATTAAAACTTCAAAAATGTTTTCATTTTGAACATGGTTGAAACCAAAACCAATTTATGACACCCGCACACTGTTTTAGTAGCCCCGTTATAAGCGATGACTTGAATACACAAATATAACAAGGTAACCTACCAGCACATCGGGCAAACTGTTCCACATATCATTCCGCCTTCGTTCTTCCAAGTCGGCATCATCGCCGTCAACTTCTACGAAATGTACTTCCAGCTGCAAAGAATGATAATAAAAAGTACTTTGAATGTTTACAGTTTTAAATCAGAATCTCGAATTGCTATGCGAAATAACTGCTATGCACGTTTTTTTTGTGTGGATCTGTAAACATTCTGCAGAAAAATATGGACTCACAGCATGCACGTGACACCAAACGAGAACTCCCAGCACGCTGACGAGATAGCACAGATAAGTCATTGTTTGAGTCTAGATGAGTGTTTACCGATGACAACTGAGCACGCCTGAGTACCTTGGCTGAGAATGTGGTGACATTTATACACCGATAAAAACAGTAGGTAATTATTGGTAACTTAAAGCAATCAATACTGTGATTTTAATTAGTAATTAATAAACTTTGAAGAAACGGAAATTAGTGCTGTTGTTTTTAAAAAAAAAAAATTTTCTTCTGCCTATTTCCGATAGTGATTATACACAATGCTAGTAATTACATCCCCATTCATCGGATATTTTAATTTCACTTCCCTTTTATGAATTAGTAAAAAACTCACACGGAAGGAGGTTGTTATTTTTTCGAATGAAATTTGGCCGTGTATCATGAATCATGTGTTATTCCATTCCGATCAGTTAAACTTAAATCGCGTTATAATTTGTAATGTTTTACATTCAGCGAAGCGACATTTGACGAACAACAATATCACAATACAGATATGTACATTTGTCATGGCATTTTTGTAAATACTGTTTTAACAAAATGCATTGAAACATTGTCTTGTTTTTCACATATTGAGCTGCGCACTTGAATGAGACACCAATGTGGTTGAATTGTTTGTAAGACTTTCAGCTTCAAGAATCTGCGGTGTTTTGTATTTGAATTTATGCCACTTTTTTATTATATGTTTAATTTGGGTGCTTGGCTCTATACATAAACTAGTTCTGCTTATTGAGTGTTTACACATCTAGAGTGAAAAATATTACATATAAAACAATATATTAATATTATACTGATATCGTAGATAGTAACTTTGCATTGTTATTCCAATAATGAACGCTAGAAATTGTTGATTTCCAACTGTCAATCATCAGTCTATGATAATATATTAATCAGATTAAATCAGTGACACGATTGCTCATTTCCGTTTGTGATAGCATAGTTATACATAGTTGCCTGTTTTAACGTACGCCACAGTTCCGTGTACCACGTTTGAAAGCACCATGCGCTCCCCGATTTATTCAATATATACGTGCCTTTGCGTGGTTTTACAGCTCAACTTCGCGGTGAGTAACGGTTAATTCTTTTTTTTAGCAGTTGTACAGGTTTACTGTTACGATCACGTCCTGTCTGTGCTACACACGGTAACTGAGTTTCAACAGCAAAGAATTTTATTTATGGGTCTGCGCTTTTTATTCACAAGAATTGTTCTTTGGGATGCAAGTTTTCTTAATTGTATGGGGATAATGGCATGTCTTTCGCAATGAATTTCGGGTAAATACAAAGTCAAGTCCGTTCCCAAATAGGCAACAATACCACTCGGATTACCTATTACAGATTTTGATCTTCGGACTTTAGAACATCGTAGTTTGATACGATAATTCCACCAACAATGCGCATAGACGGTAATGGATATCTTATTTAGATCCTCCGCTTCAGTTGCGGGGTTTATCGACGTCATAGCATTGATTTCTAGTAAAAATGTATGAGTTTATGTGTACTTTCATGCTTTTTTGGATACTACCCTCTTTGCTTCATTGTTTACCAGGTACGCGCTAATACTTATTTATGAGCAACCTTTGTTCTAATTCACTCCAACAATTGTACAATTTTGTATGTGGCATTTGTATGTGGCAATATGATTTAATACATTCACTATTTAACAGGCGAGTGTCAATTTCAAAGTTGGCGATCCAAGCGAGACTGAATTATCCGAGAGAAGACACCAAGATGCATGGGATACATTGCCAGATGTGTTGGTATGGTGATAGTAGTCATAGTAATGGCATAAAGTACAATTATCAGTTAATAAAAGATCTGCATGTTTTCTTACTGATACTTGGTGATGGTTCGTCATCTCCATATAACTAACACACACACGGAAATATATGCGTGGCCCACGTGTCCATTTACGCTGGTGTAAGACTTAAACGTATGTGAACACGTTACGCCGGCGTAAAGGGGGTCTAAATAGTTGAGTTTGTGAAGTGAATTCGGGTCCTTAACAAACGTAGTAGCAGGTGCCCACAGCTCCAATATGTGTTGAATTTTTATAGAGTTTCGCTTGCTATACAGACTTCTATAGCTGTTAAATTTGAGCTTCGCTGTTCAGTTTGGTCGCATTCGTGCGTATACTTATTAGTGTGAAATTGCTGAGTGTCGATGACTATTTTGTCGAAAGCATAACTAAACGAACAACAAAACAAACACATAACATAAATATATGGGATAACAAACGATTGCTTATCCGCGAGTCATCATCGATATACCTGCCGCCATATCTGTAAGAACCTGCAAAATGGTGAGATTCTCTCATTTTTTTTACTGGACTTTGGGGTAACTTCGTCTTTATACTGTAGCATCAGGTCGTACTAAATATAGTATGTATTTGTATTATTTCTTAGCGAGAAACACATTTGCCAAGTGAACGCTCGTATGGTAAGTGACACTATTTGAAAACTAGTAATCTGAAAATGAAACCAACACAAACGTTCTGATTTAATTCTAAGAAAATATGATAAATGATCAACGTAAAAAATGAGTGATTTCTTTCTGGTACTGGGAATAAACGTATCACCGGAGTATGCACAGTACACACACGCTGTTGCTCACATAGTATCAACAGCATCATCATTCAATCCATGTTATATACAGGTGGGGGCTCAATAGTAAATCAACCAGCCATGGCGCAAATTATTGGAGAGAACAAGGTACTAAATGGTGAGTATACAGCCTTGATTGCATTCGGGACGAGTCAGTGCCAATATCAGAACTGTGACTAACGTTGTTACGATTATGAACATAATGGACGTGGCGTCTTTCTCATAATGGTTACCGTCAAAGTGGGAAATTTGTTCCTTCTGTTGACTTGCATATGGCGGTGGAAACGATTAAACACACTCCCAGTGTATGTAAGGGGGTTATAAATAAAACATGTGGGCCACAACGATTGAAATGAAAACAATTACATGTATGTTATTTCTAGCACAATAACCAATATTAAGGTAGCGATCAGGAAAATATGGAGTTTGAACATGAAGAATTCCTGGAGAGCCATGCATAAAGCTACCCCCATAAAGTATTTATATTCTGAAAGCTTGAATATCGGAGAATACATCTGACCATAAGTTGCGTGCCCAATGTCACCGAATTGATCACATGACACGTGTTTTTAGTTAAACCCCCGAAACATTGATAATCCCGCGCTATCTTGAAAACGCTGTGAGATATCTGTCCAAAAAAGTGTGAATGAACGAACTGTGAGCTGTTTTCTAAAAGTGCGTCTAGAAATTGTTATCGGGTATTATCTCTTTACCATGTGTCCATCCTATTTCCCGTGCAATTATAATAATAGCGTGTCCTATTCATACGATTGATTGTTTTAGACCTAGCGGAAGATCTAATGTTCGAAGGTGATATTTATCTGAGCCCACTGGTAAGTATATCACTTTGCATTTATAAATTCATCGTAGAAAAACATGTTCAGAATTCTTATAAATGTTATTATCCGTTGATGATATGCCATCAATAGTTTGAACATTGTCTGTACCATGCATTTCAATATATTGGTACACATATCTAAACTTGCTCTGAATTTGCATTATTATAATCATTTCACAGAAACAGAACAATGCAGTAACCTACGAGACGTGGCTGTGGCCAAACGGCATTGTTCCTTACGAAATCGATTCTGCGTACGGTGAGTACACGATTAATAGTGCTAGTCTTGCACTGTGATGCGCATGCCCAGTGTATACGCGTGATTTGGCACTGATCACGTCTACATTATACAAGTAACCTGTAGAATACTGTGTGGGTAATATTTTTTATATTGATTTTTGTTGCATTTGCAGCAAATAGTTACCAAACAATGAGAAATCTATAGGATTGAATATACCCCACAGCTGGCTTCACATGCATTGTTCATAGTTCATATGGTGCTTACACCAGGATTTAATTACAGCACCTAGGCGGTATGTGGTTACAGCTTAAAGTGCCTGTGCAATGCCCACCCACTCGCTTCCCATTTTAGATCTGTGCCCCACTGAAATAGGCAATTATTGATTTTTTTGCTGAAAATGATTACTCGTATCCAAGTAAATTTGAGATATTTCCCGTGCTGTAGCCACGCCCACCTATCCTGAAACGGTCGACTGTTTCCGGATTTCCGACTCTCGCCGAAAGTGCGCCACCAAATGCAAAAATATGAGAGGAAGCCATACCTCTGGGCCGTACTTTTATATCACTGTGTCATTCAATGTACAACTGTACTTTTAAACGATATACATTTTTTAATCGGCGTTTCTTTTGTCTATTTTATTTTATTTTTGAGAGAGCGAATTTTTAGAAATTGTTTTCACAACAAACTTTTATGATGGTTAAACGTTGTGTTGTGGGCGGTTGCAGTAATGCGTGTAGTCATAGTGTAAGTACTAGTATTTCCACGTTTCCAATCGATCCGAAGGTGCGAAATCGGTGGACGAAAGCCGTGAAAATAACGAGAAAAGGTTGGGGTGGACTTCTTCCTAACAGCGTCATATGCAGTGTCCACTTCATCTCAGATTCTTTTTTTTTTGAAAAACTGTCCTTGTCCATGACAAAACAGCTAGGTTTTAACGAGAAACGCCGACAATACAAAACGTTTTCGAAAAAATAGATTCCGTACCAGCCCATGATCACTGAGACGAATTTCAGAAGGGAGAGAGACGTAGAGTACGTGTTTCAAATGATTTTATTTTATTTGCGATCCTGATTATCGCTTTATAGAGACCACCCGTGTTATGTAAAAGCATGGAGGTAGAAAAGAGATCTCTTTTCTACCTCCATGGTAAAAGGTAGC